TTATTGCAGCCTCCCGCCGTCCCGATCCCGGCTTCCTCGTGTCATTTTCCCCCCGGGTTTTTAGTTTTTTGTTTTGCTCCCTAGTTTCCCCGGGTCGCCTTTTGTTGTTATAATAAAGTGTTTTTTCTGTTAGCTCGGAGTCTGCGCCTGGATCCTTTCGTGCCCGCGCACCACGGCCGTGACACAGTAACCCTACAAACGTCACTGCTGTTTAGTTTTCAGTCTTCATTTATGTTGGAAGTAAAAGCAGAGCTGTCTGTTTTAATTTTTTCAGAAATCTCTCAGTCACAACATGCTATATCATGTTTAGGTGGAAACTAGCGAGCTAACTTCCTACTAACTTCTAACTCAGTTAAATTTAATAAATTCAGTTTTCATAGATGCCTGGATGTTAAACGTAATTGTTACACCTGGTAAAGCAGCAAAGCTGATGATTTTATTAAAGATAAAAGAATTTAGACAGTTTTTTACTCTCATTGATGCTGCAGTGCTCGTTTGACTTTGGGACCTGAAGCGGAGTTTGGACCCGGATAATGCTCCGACAATCCATCAAGCGGTGCAGCTTTGTAGCTTACCAAAGTCATACTAAAACATTTTTTCACAGATTTCTCATGTACCACGTAAAATCGGTTCGAGGTCAGTAAGCACAACCAGAATTCATACATAAGGCGCACCGGATTATAAGGTGCACTGTCGATTTTTGAGAAAATCTAAGAATTTTAAGTGCGCCTTATAGTCCGAAAAATATGGTACGCTATTATTTCCAAAGGCATCACCACAGGAGACACAGTAGTCTGAAAGCCTTGATCCATCTTGCATTTCTTCATATTTCTTTAGGAAAACTGGAAATAGGTGCAGCAATTTCTTGAAATATCTGCAAACATACGTGGAAATATAGAATATGAGGCCAATACAGAGTTTCTTGAAAGTTAAAATTTGGTACAACCACCTTTACTTCCCAGCCTAAACTCTCTTAGACAAGCTTTCTTGTAACTTCTTTAAGTAGTCTGCAGGCTTCTCAAAGGACATTTCATCACTCTTCTATGAATGTTCACTGTGTTAGGTTCTGTTCTCTGCTGAGATGATCACTCACTGCTTCAAAGATGTTGAGGCCCAGGCTAGATGCAGATAACTGCCAGGTGCATCTCTCAGGTCCTGTGTCAGGTCTTTGCTGGATTTATTTTGCTATTTCTTAACGACGTGACTTCCAGATAATGTTCATCTGCTGTAGATTGTTGTTTGTTTGTTTTTTCTAGATCTGCCACGTCTTCTTTTTGTCTTCCACCTTTCCAGTTTCATTAAACTTTTAAGGAGGCACTGCACACCCTACCAGGATATGCCAAGTTTTCAGCTAAGAGTTGTTTGGGAAAACTGCTATCGTATTCCTGTCAAAATGTGCTATTTTTGACATTTCTCATTGATTTAGCAAAAGAAATTAATATCTAACTTAAAATTGGTTCTTTGGTAAGTTTTCTGTTATGTATAGACACAAAACTGCTCCCTCCCTTGAGTTGGGGGGCTTTATGTGTGTGTGAATGATTCATAGATATGTATTAAGTGGCTTAACAAAAAACAAACAAACAAACAAACAAATCCTCTGAAAATGGTCAGGTAAAAGGACTGGATTGAAAATGAGTGAGAAAGCCAATGTCCAAAGACAAACTTTCAAAGACCTTTAGAAAGCTTGGCGAACTATTGCTCTAAAAATGACAAGAAAGTCTAGATAACTGAACAACATATGAAGAAATAAAGAGTGACTCAAGACTTTTGCGCAGTACTGTACATTAATCTGATAGGAGTATAAATGCCCAGAAATGCTGCTTTTCTTTCTGCTCTATCCCTCAATTCAGAGACCCGTCAACAGCTACAAGGGTCTGAATTTGAATTTGATCTATCCAAAGGAGGTCTCAGGGTCACCTGATCCAGCTCTGACTGTAAGCTTTATCACAATGGAAAGTTTAAACCCTGACCTTAAAAGTAGAGTTGGTGTTTGTCTCTTAAACCTGA